TTGAAAATCAGACCTAAGAATAATTGGCCAATGGCACTAGCCGATTTTTGTGGTTCCTCCCCATTTCGTTTATCAGGCATGCTGGAAAATTCATGAAAAACGACAGATTTTCTAAATCACTGGTGGCACCATCGGATTACAATGTTTTTGATTTTCAACATTTTTACTGTTCTTTCTGCCTGGAAACTGAGAAAAGTTCATGGTGTCCAAAAAGCGTCCTTTTAGGTCAAAAGTGGTTTTAGATCAGCTAGAAAACAGCGATAGTAAATTAGAACAACTTGCAGAATTGAGTGATAATGATTTGTGGGGAAATTCGTCATCAGACACTGAAAACAATTTTGCGACTTTGCTCAGTGATGTGTGAACTTGGCGCTATATTTCCAATTTCAGTGTTTTTGGTTTGATTATATTATTGACTTAAATGTATTATTATATTATTATTTTTTATGATTATTCATTATATTATAATTTATGATTTTGGGTTTCAAGTTTTAACATACCCGGGATGTTTACTACACTCTTGTGCGGACAGATTTCAGTGAGTTATTCCTAAAAATGACAGGCCTACATTCATATTTCCATGCAAAAAATGTACCGCTTTGAGCACAGAAATATGAACATAATCAGACCGCTAGGGAGGCTAATGACACAGGTTCTGTCAGAGGCGTAGCTAGGATATTTTGCGCCCGGGGACGAACGGTCACCTCATGACACCCCCCCCCCCGCACTTCATATGGTCCCTGTAGACACCCCCCCGTTCCGATCACATTGCCCCCCCTTCATCCATGGCACTACTCACCCGGCTCGGCTCTCTACTTTCCCCTCCAGCACATGCCCGGCTCACTGCCCTCCTCTCTGCAGTGATCTTGTGACCTCATTTTGGCGCCCCTGTACCTTGGCACCTGGGTGCATATGTGCCCCCCTAGCTACGCCTCTGGGTTCTGTGGCTGATTAACCGCTTCGTGACGGCTGCATACAAATGTGTGGCCTCCCGATATCTGGGCCTTGAAGCCGAGTGACCACACATTTGTGAGCAATTAAGAAAAACATATGTGCTGAGAGCGTGTTCCCTGCACGCACCCAGCACACACAGACGGTACTCACGGAAAGGTCCCAATCTCCTCTTTTGATTGGGACCTTTCCCGATCATGTGACGACGAATCACGGCAGTCACATGACCTTAAAATCCCACCCCCCAGCTTCTGAAACCCTTAAAGGGCCAGGATGCACCAATGCCAAGGAGTTAAGGTGGTGATTAAACTCACCTAGTGCCTTATCTGCATTAAATTAGCCTCAGAACCTGCGTAATTCATATGTGTTTGGGTTTAAAGGGATGAGGAGGCAATTGGTACAGTGAGCCCTTCCTGGCAGGCTCGCTCGGGAAGGTGTTACAGTAAATCACGGTCACCAATCAATGAGGAGCGATGGCGCTCATCGCCTAGTCCACAGACAACCGCCCCCATTATGAAAGGGCTCATTGGTCCATTTTATCCCCACCCTGGTCAAAGGTAGCCAGTCCTCCCAATCAGTTGTACTGACGTGTAATAAAAGGGAACACCACAACTTTGCACTAGGCTGCAGGATGAAATATCTATAGAGAGCACACCCAGGATCAAGGGCCCTCGAGGAACATCACAGTACTGCACACAGCCAATCCTGATATCTGGAAGCGGGTTATCTTCCATGGGTGCGGACAAATAATTGCTGCTTGCCTCACCAAGCAGTAGCGAATTTCCCCGCCCCCGCGTATCAAAAGCGCCAATCAGGAGTCCGCTAGGCAGCACGCAACCCGAAGCGGAGTTAGACCGACTCTCTGCACAATAAAAGCACCGGCTCCGCTCCAGCCATCCGCCGCACACACTCCCGCGGGCTCTGCCTTACCTAAAGAAGTGACGCTGCCTCAGGCGCCGGGAGTCGCTTCCTTTACCAGCAGAGCCCTCTACGGAAAGCCAGTGTGCAGCCGGCCGCAGGTGTAACTCGTACCGCGGCGCTGCGACTCTACACACAGTCTATTTTATTTCCTTCATTATTTTTCCTCCCTCCGTGCTTACACTAAAGTCACATAGTAGAGCGCATGCTCCTCCGCCGCACTGCACTCTGGGAGTTGTGGTCCGTCCACAAGGCGACTGAGGAGAGCGATAACTGGCCGAGGAACTACGTGTCCCGTCGTCCTCTGCGACCGACGCTACGTACAGTTCAGTGGAACAAAGCTAATAGAGCGGCCTCTGTATAGAGGTCCGTGCTGAGGGCTCGTCATGGCTGGGTGTTCTTCCAGTCAGACTGTGTTCTGCCTTCTTATCAGGCCATACACATTGCATATAGTAATAATGATACAGGTCAAGGGGAGTAAAGGTGGCTGATAGTATTGCACTGCACACTAAAGTAAGGTATTAAAAGTAGCTGAAACAGTTGTGCAAGCATCAGATAAAGACGTACCGGTCACGCTGGTGCGACTTGTCATGATTTGATAGTTTACACCCTGTTGTCAGCAATGGAAGCGGTGATAAAAGTACTTCATGAGCTACTGTTTGCAAGTTCAGGTGCGACTTGCGTAGACATAGTTTATGAAGTCACACCAATGTCTCCAAAGTCGCACCTGAAGTCAGACTGACATCCAACATTGACATTGTGTGAATTCAAGTGAAGTCACATGATTTCAAAGTGGGATTCGGTGTGACTGAAATCAAGTGTTTTGTCAAGGCAACACAAAGCAGGTTGTTTACTACAGCCCATTTCACAATGGTCCGCTTTTGCTGCGCTCTTCAGTCGAAGCTTCAAAACGCTCAGGGAGAAAAAAATCAATAATATTCTGTGGAGATGGTTCACATCTCCATTCCAGTTCACCTGAAGCTGAACGCCTAAAGCTCAGAAAAGTTTACTTTCATAGCTCCATTTGGGAAGATTGATGTGGTTTTGGCATGTTTTCATTCCCATAAAAATACATTGAAATGCGCGTTATGTCACGTGACCAAGAGTGGTTTTCTGGCATTTTTTTTCTATTGACCAATACAAAAACGTCTCAATAAATCTTACACAAATGTTTGCAAACGTGCAAAAAAATCGCAATGCTCAGGTGTGAATGAGGCCTTAATCCTATGGCGCTGGCTACTGGCTGTATTTTTGGTGCATGCTTGTTCAGGTAAAAAAAAACACCAAAATGCATCCCTCCACTGAAATTAATGGAAACCGCCGCAAAAATGCAACGCACCTGTGGGAAGTGCTTTGTCTAGTGGGGAATAATGTCCATTTACATACACATCCCCCAACATCAAAGCCCTATTTTTGTTCTGTAAAAAAAAAAAAAAAATATGGAATGAACACAAAAAAGGATGTAAACTGACAAACGGTCCATTTTTGCATTGGTAGGCCCAGGTCAATTTCTGAACTATTTTTTGTTCGAAAATCAGACCTAAGAATAATCGGACAATATTCACTCTGTTAGTGGGGCAATGGCACTGGCCGAATTTCATGGTTCCTCCCCAATTTCATGGTTCCTCCCCATTTCATTTATTTATTTCAGGTACTTGTATAGCACCGTCAATTTACGCTTTACATATATATATTATACATTCACATCAGTCCCTAACTCTCAAGGGGTGTACAATCCAAGGTTCCTAACTTACATTCATACATACACACACTAGGGCCAATTTAGACAGGAGCCAATTAACCTATCAGCATGTCTTTGGGGTGTGGGAGGAAACTGGAGTACCTGGAAGAAACCAACGCAGGCACAGGGAGAACATGCAAACTCCAGGCAGGAGGTGCTGTGGCTGAGATTCAAACCAACGACCCTAGTATTGCCAGGCGGAAGTGCTAACCATTTAGCCACTGTGCTGCCCATATTATCGGGTATGCTGGAAAATTCGTGAAAAACGACAGATTTTTAAAATCATAATGTGAAGTGAAAAAATGCTACGCTACATGAATCAGTGGTACAAACCATTATATAACCAGAAAAACAAAGTGAAGAAATAAACATATATTAGAAGAAAAAAATAGTAGAAAAAAATATATTAAAAACAATATATATATATATATATATATATATATATATAAAATGTATAAATATGAAAAACAAAAAACCATAAAAAAAAAGTGTGAATCAAAATAAAGTACTTAAAAAAAATCAAGTTCAATCAATAAAGTGTTCATTCAGATTTTTGAAATCATTGGTGGCACCATCGGATTACAGAATGATTTTTCGATTTTCAGTCGAAAAATTGTTTGGAAATCGACCCATGTATGGCCTGCTGTAGTGGATGTAAAAAAACTGATATTTATGATTATACTGAGAATAAATTACGTACAGGTGGACGCTATGTGCTAATTAGGTAACTTCTGAAGGCAATTGGTTCCACTAGATTTTAGTTAGGGGTATCAGAGTAAAGGGGGCTGAATACAAATGTACACCACACTTTTCAGATATTTATTTGTAAAACATTTTGAAAACCATTTATTATTTTCCTTCCACCTCACAATTATGTGTCACTTTGTGTTGGTCTATCACAAAACATTCCAATAAAATACATTTACATTTTGGGTTGTAACATGACAAAATGTGGAAAATTTCAAAGGGGTATGAATACTTTTTCAACGCGCTGTATATGCTGTATAAGAACAGAGTACTACTGCCTACAAATAGGGTTCGGCTAGATGTTTGAGTCGAACATAAGTTCGACTCAAACATCAGCCGCTCGTGTGTGTTTTGCGAACACCAGAATTGTAATGGCGTTCAGCGGGCTGTTCGCCTGCAGCGCCCCACAATGTATTGCACCCTGACAGTGCATTGTGATTGGCCAAAGCAATGCACCTGACCACAGGTTAGGTGCAATGCTTTGGCCAATCACAGCGCATGATGACATGTCCCCTTTGTGACATCATCACAGTATTTAAGAACTGTCAGGCTGTTGCAGCTGTCAGACTGTGGGAGCCAGTGATCAGTGGTGGGGGCAGGCATCGTGATTGACGTTGGATCTACTTCATTTTCTTTATTTTTGTTTTTAACCACTTCCCATCCGGCCCATGTATATAAACGGCCGAACGGTGGCAGTGCAGGGTCGGGTGGACGTTTATAAACTGCTTGTGCGCACTCCCTGGGAGCATGCAGCACCGCTATCCAGTGGAACACCAATCGTCAGACCGGACCTCTGTGCGAGGTCCCGATCATGTGATCACTGATTGGACAATCAGTGATCACATGCATAGTGAGCAAGATGTCACTTCTGACATCATTGCTTACTACGTATGAAATCTGTGAATGATCACAGAGATCACATGGTACAAGGCTATTCACAACAGCCTTGTACCATGTGACAAGCTGTGACCAATCACAGCTCACACAGTAGTTCTCAATGGCTGCAAGAATGCAGCCATTCTTAGAGAGAAGGAGGAATGATTGCTTTTACAGCCTTTATGGGTGTAAAAGCAATCACTGTAAAAAAAAAAAATCTGCATCACCCCCCACAAGTAGTACAGTGTCACAATGGTGACACTGTACTGCTAGGGTGACAGTATGAAAAAAAAAAACATAAATAATAATATAAAAAAAAGTTTAAAAATTATAATTTTGGCTATTAACTAATTTGGGTTATTTTTTTTACTAAAAAGATAACAGAATACATTTTGGCCAAGATTTATGATGAAATACTATTTATTTGCAAAATTTTATAAGAAAAATACTTTTTTTCAAAATTTGTGGACTTTTTTTTTCATTTACATAGCAAAATAAAAATCCCAGTGGTGAATAAATACCACCAAAATAAAGCTTTATCTGTCTAAAAAAAATGCTAAAAAATTCATATGGGTACAGTGTTGCATGACCGCGCAATTGTCTTTCAAAGTGTGATAGCTCTGAAAGCTGAAAATTGGCCTGGACAGGAAGGGGGTGAAAATGTCCGGACTGGAAGTGGTTAATAAAGGAGTTGTCAAAGACTGTCTCCTGTCATTTTTTACACTACACTTTTTTTTGTGAATGAGTAGTGGTACCATGTACTCATTCACATGGGGGGGAGGGATCTGAGGGCTTCCAGATTATTATTATTATACAGGATTAATATTGCGCCAACAGTTTGCTCAGCGCTTACGATTACGATGAGCCCCCCTCCCGTAGACCCCAACAATCACCAGCCATGGTTGTCGGGAAGAGGCCTTTCTCTCCATCAACATGGGGACAAGGTGCTGTGGGGAGGGGGCCCTGCCCCAAAGCACCCCCCCCCCATGTTGAGGGCAAGTGATCTGGTAAGGTTCGGGGGGGGGGGGGGGGGCGTTTTCCTGACTTGCTGGGCTGCATGCTTGGATAAGGGTCTAGTATGGTTTTCGGGAATCCCGCTGAGAGCTGAAACAGTAAAGAACAATTTGGCTACTAAAATATCACAGGACTTAATAATATAACTCATGCGGTATTTTAGTAGCTGCATATTCAGATGTGGTAAGATACTGCTTAGTGAATTGTCCTTGTTTGAAGTCCGTGGTCAGACTTTCAGTAGGTTCAAATGTTTGGGAGTGTTCAGCCCATCACTATCTACCGTGTGTCACCGCAATTTGTATTATTACTACGTATCCAAATACAAGGAATTACAGTTCAATTTGGTTCTGTGAGAGTGCTCCCTCTCTATTGGACATCACAGGTATTGATCCCGCCCACCAGTGTGCTTCACTTGCATGTAGGGTTGGCACCTCATCCCTTTAAACCCAAACACATATGAATTACACAGGTTCTGTGGCTGATTAAGGGGGTAATTAAACTCACTTAGTGCACTATGTGCGTAAAATTAGCCTCAGAACCTGTGTAATTTATATGTGTTAATTTTTAAAGGGATGAGGTTGCAACCCTACATGCATGTCAGGACACGCATTATTGTGCACATGTTCCCGACATGTTCCCTCCACAGGGCCGTGGTTAGGGTTGCCACCTCATCCCTTTAAAACCGAAAACATATTAACTACACAGGTTCTGTGTCTGATTGAGGTGGTAATTAAACTCACTCAGGCTCCATTCACATCTGAGCGTATCATTTTTCGCACATATTTTACTGCAATTTTTGCACGTTTTCATACAGCGTTTTTGAGCTTTGGGGGTTTTTTTTATTAGGCAATAGAGAAAAATATCATCTGTTGCATCATTTTTGCTAGGTTTTTCTGCTTCAGCTTTTCCATCAGCTTGTATTTCTTTTTTTATTATTATTATTAATTTATTATTTTATTATTAACTATTTTATTAATTATTTATTTTTTGTTAGGGTGATGATAATAATGAATTTAAGAAATACAAAAATTAATAAAAATAATTATAAATAAATACTGTAATAATACATTAATAATAATTAACCCATAACCTTAAAGCGGAGTTCTAGCTGAAAATAAAAGTCAACAGCTACAAAAACTTTAGCTGCTGACTTTTAAAATAGAGCCTCTTACCTGTCCTTCAACACGGCTGGTTTCACCGGCCGTCTTCTCTCCCTGGCGCCACCGGTTAAAAGGTAAACTTCTCCTTTAACCTTTAAATACTGCTACAGGGCGGCAGTGATGCGCAAAATTACGTATATATCAGGGCGGACTAACAACTCATGGGGCCCCGGGCAATAGGGGATCATGGGGCCCCTGTGTCCTCGCGCACACCCAAAAAAGCCTATGAAAAAGCCAATGAAAGGTACCAAGGGCATCTCATGGGGCCCCCTACTGACCCTGGGCCCTCAGGCAGTGACCGAGTGCTCGAATGGTCAGTCCGCCCCTGGTATATATACATGATTTTGCATTTCCGGGTATTTATTAGCACTGATCACTGTATTGGTGTCACTGGGGATGTCAGTGACAACAACTCAGTTACCCCCAGTGTCAGAATGCCCACCGCAGTCCCGCTATTAGTCGCTGATCGCTGCCATTAGTAGTAAAAATTTAAAAAAAAAACAGCCCAGTATATATACCGCCATTTGTAAACACTATAACTTTCACATAAACCAATTAATTTACACATATTGGGATTTTTTTTTTAGCAAAGACATGTCTCAGAATACATTTTGGGCTAAATTTATCCGGAAATTCGATTTAAATTTTTTTTTTTAACTGAACATGATTAATAGCAAAAAGTCAAACGTATTGGGTTTTTTTTTCTCAAAATTGTTTGGTTCTTTTTTTTTAAGTGCAAAAAATAGCTCTATTTGTGGGGGGGGGGGGGGAGGATGTAAATTTCATTTGGATGCAGCGTTGCATGACCACACAATTGTCAGTTAAAAGAACGCAAAAAATGGCCTGGATTTTACTGGATATGTTTTATAGTAAAAAGTCAAAAATATTGTTTTTTTTCTCAAAATTGTTGCTCTTTTTTTTATAGCACAAAAAATAAAAAATGCACAGGCGATCAAATACCACAGAAAAAAAACTCTATTTGTGGGGAAAAAAGGACATATAATTTCATTTGGGTGCAGCATTGCATAGTAAAATTGTCAGTTAAAAGAACGCAAAAAATGGCCTGGATTTTACTGGATATGTTTTATAGTAAAAAGTCAAAAATATTGTTTTTTTTTCTTAAAATTGTTGGTCTTTTTTTTATAGCACGAAAAATAAAAAATGCACAGGCGATCAAATACCACAGAAAAAAAGCTCTATTCGTGGGGAAAAAAGGACGTAATTTAATTTGGGTGCAGCGTTGCATGACCGTGCAAAATAATGCAGTTAAATGCAGTTAAAATAATGCAAAAAATGGCCTGGATTTTACTAGAATGTTTTACAGTAAATAGTAAAAAAAAAAAAAAAAAAATTCGCAAAATTGTTGGGTTTTTTTTTTATAGCGCAAAAAATAAAAAATGCACAGGACGATCAAATACCACAGAAAGAAAGCTCTAATCGTGGGGAAAAAAAGGATGTACATTTCATTTGGGTGCAGCATTGCATGACCGCGCATATGTTAGTTAAAGTAACGTAGCGCCGTAACACAAAAAATGGCCTGGTCAGGAAGGGGGGGGGGGGGGTAAATCCTCTGTAGGGCAAGTGGTTAAGAACCGGTTCCTATCCTGTTGGTTGTGCATTCAGTGATCACCAGCAGGTGCCCTTCCCAATGTTTCTGTGTTGGCTGTTTAGAAGGTTTTAGTTTTCCATCACATTCTAATCAGCTTTTCTATTCCATTTATCTCTATAGAATTATCTATAGATAAGTTTCTGTTACTTTTGCATGTAGCCACTGATGATTACTTTGTATCCTGTTGGTTACTTTGTATCATTACAACTTGTATGCAGTGCCTTTTATCACATATTACTGTAGTACTGATTTATCACCAAGTAATCTCACTCCTGTGTCTCAGGCCAGGTGCACACTGTTGTGTTCTGGTAACACTGATTGCAGCCTCAGTGCTCTCCATTTCAACTAGTAAAACTTTCCAATTGTAGGTCAGACAAGACAAATCAATCAGCATTGAGAAAGGCATTGCTAAACTGGCAAAATAAGAAAATGACAATTGCCTGGACCAGGTAACACTGTGCTGTGTTTTTTTATACTTTACGCTGCCTTGTGTACTGGTACTGATTACTTTGTAGTTTGCTCTGTACACCATGGTGTACATTTTATTCCCCACATAGCTCTACTTTGTACACATCGTGCTTCAAGTTGCTCTGCTTTGTACATTGTGCTGGATCACCACTCTTTTCATTGTGCTATTTTTTTTTTTATCAGCAGTTGTGTATACATTTAACAAACCTCACATACAAACATGACACACAGCCCTGCTGCAGTACTTCTAGTCACCAACTATATAGCAGTATGGGATAATATATCCAAAAGGAAATGTGCTTTATTCTTTACACTGCTCTACACACTCTGGTGCTGTACATTCCATGCTGTAGGCATTTAGAGTGTTAACCACTTGCCCTCCAGAGGATTTACCCCCCCCCCCCTTTTGTGACGAGACCATTTTTTGTGTTACAGCACTGTGTTCCTTTGACAATTGCGTGGTCATGCAATGCTGCACCCAAATTAAATTTGTCCCCCCCATGAATAGAGCTTTCTTTCGGTGGTATTTGATCGCCTGTGTGTTTTTTATTTTTTGCGCTATAGAAAAAAAAGACCAACAATTTTGAGAAAACAATACTTTTTGCTATTAAACTTGTCCAGTAAAAAAAATTAAAAATTTAATTTTGTCATAAATTTAGGCCAAAATGTATTCTGCTACATGTC